TTGATTTGTGCCATGCACTCCTTTAGCTGGAGCTGCTTCACCAGGTGTTGGAAGGTGCTCAGCCTGGAGTTGGAAGACATGCTGGTTGCTCCACTTCCCTGTGATCCTGCATCCCTTCTGCTTCCGGAGTCTGGGCAGAAGAAACAAAGCTCAAACCAGGGGAGGGATAGGGGCAAGGTGCAGCTGGAGCTCCCAGGCTGGTGGAAATATACCCAGAGGCAGCTGGGCAGAGATCAGTCACAGGAAGAGAGGGTCCATCTACCACTTTTTATAGCTGACCTGAACGCAGAGGCAGCTCCAAGTCTGTTTCTGCCCTCCTCCATCCAGGGACTGTGGGGAGTAGCTGTGTAGGGTGCCACACTTGGCTAGAGACAGTAGTGGTGGCAGACCAGTCCCATTTCTGTGCTTACTCCCTGCCCAGCCCTCCCCCCTTGGTGGGGTGGAGGGAGCTACACCGCCTGGAGAGCTCAATGTGCTAAACAGTAGGGCTGTGAGAAGCTTCGATAGCTGATTTGATTCGGAGAGGATTCGGCCCGATTAAGGGACTGAATCTCTAAATTGAATCAGGAGGCCAAGTAAAAGCTCCAAATCGATCTGAAGCATCCAAATCAATTAAGAAGAAAAAATTGGAAAAGATTCAGCCACTTCAGAGATTTGGCCATAGACTAAACAGGCAACTGACAGCTGCCTCCTGCTGGTAAGTCTGCTGGGACTGGGGGAGGGAGGGTTTGGGGCTGGGACAAGCTGCCCAGCTGGCGCAAGGGAGCACGTTACTCAGGGATGGGGGTGGGGTGGGGGTGCAGGATATGGGCACAGCAGCGCTGGGAGTGGGGGATCCACTTGCCCAGCTGGTGCGGAGGGATGCGGGTGTGGCTCACTCCAGGCAGAAGGGGGCAAGCGGCAGCGGGGCAGACCTACCACTCCCAGCGCTGCTGTGGCCCCCTCCCCGAGTAATGCACCCCCTATCCCGGCTGGGCAGCTGGTCACGAGCCCTCAGAGACTCAAATAGCTGCTGCCAGAGCCGGTGAGTGAGGGGCTGTTTTGTTTTGTTTTTTAACTTGCTGGGATGCTAGGACTGGGCAGGGCAGCCATCGGGGTGGGGCGGGGTAGAAGATCAGGGAGTGGGGGCTGTGCAGGGGGGGGCCTGTGCCACGTGGCCCCAGAGCCCCCACAGCCACTGCTACTGCCAGTGTGGGGTTTTTTGTTTTTTAAGTGCCAGGAGGCCGGGGCTGGGTGCGGGATGGGGCTGGGCAGGGCAGCCATGGGAATTTCTCCCATGGCTCCCCCCACCTGGGGAGAGGCAGGCAGTTGAAGGAGCCACAGGAGAACCTGCAGCCACTCGTCTGTGCCTGCCTCTCCCCGGCTGATCCAAATCGCTGAACGTCTCCAAATCAGCACCAAATCTTTCAAAGCTGATTTGGCCGAATCAATTCAGGATAGATCTGAATCGAATCACTGTCCTCTGAATCTGCTGAGTCTGCATCCAAATGGAATACTTCTCTATTCACACGGGCCTAATAAACAGTGGAATGGGGGTGCAATCACACCACTGCACTGCACCCCCTTGGACTGCCCTTGTATGAACAGGATACCCAATTATGTTATTTGTAAAGGAAATCCATGATGATCTGGTTCTTAGAGTCCTCATCTTAGTCTTAAAAATTTGATTCCTTTTACTTTATGCTCTACAATTCCGTTTATCAAAGCAAGAAAGGTCTCTCTCTCTTTTGTGTAATAAAAGATGCAGGGGAAAAAAAGTTGTAACATCCAGTCTAGGCTCCCGAATCAATCAGCATCTTCTTCCCCTACACCATAGCCCTCCTAGAATTTAATTTAATTGCTGATCACCTGGGATGAGAATGACATGCTAGACAGAGGAATAAGTGCTAATTTTTTTTTTTTTTATGTAATCCTTATTCTTACATCTAGTAGGCCCAAAATAATTTAACAATTCACTTTCAATTTAATGCAAGAGTTAGATAAAGAAAACAGTTTTGACTGCCTGAAAACAATCTCTGAGTATTTGTCAGGTTTCTTCACAAATCAGGTAGATTTTTTCTTTCCATCTTAACATAATTTTGAATAGAGAACTGTTCCCCCTCCCTTGATCATAATGCTGAAATCAAGGGTTGAGTTTCAGCCTTTGAATGGTCTCTCTACTCTGAACAGGCCCATATCCGTTCTCACAAGAAACTCATGAGACACCAATGACAACTTTTCTGGTAACGTTAGTCTGTTCAGGAATCTGAAAAGATCTAATTCACTAGTCTTCTTGCAACAATGAAAATGGTGAACAAAAGCTCCAGACATAAGGAGATGTAATTGATTTTGAAGAGCATGCACATCTGTAGAGCATGCGGCATATTATTCCTAAAGGCTCTGCTCTTGAGGAGGAAAAGAAAAGTCTGCACTCTAAACATGCAAATGTCAGTATAGCAGCAATAAAGCAATGAATCAGAAATACACCCCCCCCAAGCCCTAGGCACAAGCTTAAAGTAGGTCGACAATATCAGGATTCAGATGTTTATATTTTGAAAGCATGACCACTGGAATGGGAGTTAAAAGATAAGTGCGGTTGAGAGAAATGGTGATGAGACAGGACAGAAGCAGCTGCAATTTATTTTCCCCTTACACTATAACAATATAGTTTGAAGTACCCAATAGCACCCTCAGATCTCTGTAAATGCCAAAGGAAGTCAAGGTCCAGTATATGCTTAAATTTTGCAAGCCTAACAATGTTTGTCGGGGGTGATTTTTTGCTGACATTGGTGTACCAACAGAAGTCCAAATGTAGATAACAATTAAACCAGAAAAAAAGTTGCATGTGTGTTAAGAGAGCATGTAGGCATGGTTATATTGGCAAAATACATGTAGATAAAACTTAAAATTGTTCCAGATTACTAATCATACTTGTTCCTTGGCTACTATCCAGCCCTTCACCCATTTGGCTTTTTAGTTTCCTCTTAGCAGCAAAGCAAAGAATGGCATGGGCCTGAAAGCTGATCTAACTTTTATTCTGTATGGGATGACCTGTACTAGTCAGGATTGAGAAGTGTTAGGATTGATAAAATAAGGAATCTTGTGCTAGCTCAGTCAGAAGTATTCTGGGACTGTGACTGAATGCAGACATTCAATTAGCAGTGCCGTGAGTTTAACACTTTTTGTCAGCTCTACTCATCTGGACAGGCAAACAGCACTTCAGGCCACTGCTGGAAGAAAGGAAGGCTCCATGATCACTGGAAAGCAGGTTCAGGCCCCTGAATGCCTGTTTACAAGTGTGAAGTGCGTTCCCTCAGCTTGTCATTGCATGGCATCTCTCTCCAACTCTACAGCCTACTTAAAGCACTCTTCATAATCGTAAAGACTCTCTGCTTATTTGGTTTATAAGGAAGTCTTTTGGGTAGGGTCTGCCCTGCTGCGCCCTGATTATGCGGGTGGCCCTCCTCTGGACCCTCTCGATGCTGGCCGCATCCCTCCTGAGGTGCGGTGCCCAATCACGAACAGAGGGAATGGCTAGCTGTGGCAGGAAATAAAGGGGAACACAAGCCTCCTTTTGAGAGGAGTAGTGTTAAAACTGGCCTGAGGCATCAATGACACCAATTGCTGTACCTTGGTGTCTTTACTGATGATGGATCAAACTTATCAAATCTTCAGAAGCAATCTAACTGGGATACACATCATGTGACAAGAAAAAATTATGGAGGAAGCCCCATAAATTTGCAGAACCAGATTTTGTAATGCACTGAAAATATATGCTGGATGCACTGAAATATATGATCCTTGCTTAAACTTTTAAAAGGTTTCAGATTGTTGATGGCCTAGGCCCAAAAGATTTTCTTTACACCATCTTTTTCCATCAAACTTTTCTAAAAACCTTGTTTCTACTCACACTAGCTCAGACAGCGGTGGGAAATGGAGGAGTGCAGCCTGTAATGTGTGTACTAAGATGACACACGTGACAAATGTGTTCAGGAAGATATTCTGCAGATATCAGAGCTCTAAGGAATCATCTCATTCCTTTTCTCATCCCTATCATGCAGGGTATTCATCCCCGTTGCAAACATTACTACATTAATTCTCATAGTAACTCTATGAGGCAATTATCTCTTTCTATATAAACAGATGGGGCACTGAGGCATAAAGTGATTAAGTGACTTTTCAGTTTCATAGTTGGTAGGGTCAGAAGGGAACTGAGCAGATCATCAAGTCCAACCCCCTGCCATGGCAGGAATGAATGCTGGGGTCAAACGACCCCGGCTAGGTGATTATCCAGCCTCCTTTTGAAGACCCCCAGGGTAGGGGCGCGCACCACTTCCCTTGGAAGTTGGTTCCAGATCGTAGTCGCCCTGACTGTGAAGTAGTGCCTCCTGATACCTAGCCTGAATCTACTCTCAGTCAACTTATGGCCGTTATTCCTTGTTACTTCCGGTAGTGCTTGGGGGAACAGGGACTCTCCCATTGCCTGCTGGTCCTCCTTGGCAAGTTCATAGATAGCCACCAGATCCCCTCTCAGCCTTCTCTTGTGGAGGCTGAACAGGTTCAGGTCCCTTAGCCTCTCCACATAGGGTCTGCCCTGCTGCTCCCTGATTATGCGGGTGGCCCTCCTCTGGACCCTCTCGATGCTGTCCACATCCCTCCTGAGGTGCGGTGCCCAGAACTGGACGCGGCACTCCAGCTGCGGCCTGACCAGTGTCACAGAGGGGAAGGATCACCTCCTTGGACCTGCTTGTGATTTCATGGTCATCCAGGAAGTCTTGGAAAACAGGAGCTGAACCTGCATACTTTGAGTTCCTAGTCATGAGGTTGCCCTTTTGCTCTGTGCTGTGGGCACTGCTCCTGCCAACAGAAAAAGACTGGACCCCTTAAGAATCTGTCATGTGTTACTCTATCTGGTAGGTGGTGTCTCTACTGCAACACAAAACACTGAATTCCTCACACAAAGAAACTGAGTGCACTGTGTGATATCTATAGGCTGGAAAATATACTGCCCATACAATTCCTTAAGAACATCAACATTTATTTAACATGATATAAAATAAATGAGATATGAACATTTGCATTTGAACAACAGTAAGTGGCTTCTTATACTTACATTGTATGCGCTCATTGTATAATATATACACAATGAACATAATTACATTTGTACACAAACTAAGTACTGGATTGAAAACCTGCTTATTGCTGTACACACCCTATTCCAACCAAGTAAAAGCCCAGTACCTCAAAATACCTACAACTTCATTTATTTAAGAAAAAGTAAGCACTAACATTCGTGTATATGTTGACAACAGTGTGGCAGTAACTGCTGACGTTGCAACCCGACTGAGAAATAATTACAGCAGAAACAGGACATACTTTACTCAGCAATAATAAAAATGGCACATTTTAAATATATATATATATATATATTTATATAAAAAAATTTACAAATCAAAAGTTAAAACAATATCTTGTAGTGTCTAGAAAGTGTAAAACCAGGTTTAGTGGCAATATGCAAAAGTAACCGATTCTGTATGTACCTAAAAGAAGCAAAAATGAAAACTTAAATGATACCATAATTAACCAAAAAATTCAATTTTGGAAAACGTCAGCTAAGGTTCTGACAGTGGACCGCACATTTACAAGAACCTTTACGTATGTGCATGGAAATCATAGCAGCAAGCTGGTATCAGAAGAATAATCTTCAGATTGTTGAGTGTACATATGGGCCATTAAAGCTGTCTTGGAATAAACATTTTCCAGGAGGTGATAAAATGATGCTCTGCAGTCAAAAGCATCAGAACTATGAATTTCATAGATTTAAAATATACTGTACAATATCTTCTTACATTTCCACACGTCCATACATCTCAGCCATGAATTGTTTCAATAGAAGCTGTTACAGCTGAAAGACAGACATGGAACTAGTTACTTTATTTTACCAAAACTAGAATATTGTATAAAGTAATTCTTGGGATTAGAAGTTTCTGAGCACACTGTGGTAATAGTTATTAACACAATATATTAAAGCATCTAGAAAATAAAACTGTTTCTGAAACCTTTTTCTTGATGCATTAAGGCTATTTTGAGGCAATGAACACATGTAAACTGAATCAAACAGATATTTTTGTACGAGGAACTATCTAAGAGTTTTATACTGCTGTGCATTATTTATCACTATATCAGACTGCCTTCCACATCAAATAAACAGCAATAGCAAAGTCCCTGAATGTTTCACCTAAGGGCAGACGAGAAACAGGATACAGTATTCTTCATTTGCTGTGCTGTAGTGCGTATGGGATGTATTCCCCTCCAGAGGTAATGTATTCCATCCAGAAGTAATGCATTTCCAGTTGCTGCTGACAGTTATTTAGTAAAGGATTTAAAGAACTCAGGGATGAAAGGTACTATATAAAATTTATCATCACTCCATTAAACTTTTTATCCATGTGCTTAAAATGTAACAATATGCTATTGATAGAGATCCAAAAATATGTCTCTATGATATCAGAGCCATGGCATAGAAAGTAGCCTTCTCAATGAGTTCTCTTTTCGTAGTTCCAGGATATCATATATTGCAGTTTTCCTATGTCAGATTCTACTTCCATCATGCCAGGAGTATCACTTTACTGTCTGTAAAAACTATATATAGGTATTACTTCATCATCCGCGTCATGCATTTTCCAGATGCTGCCTTAAAAAAAAAAAAAAAAAAAAAAAAAAAAAAAAAAAAAAAAAAAAAAATCACTCAGCTATGACTAACACTCAACTTAGAAATTATCTCTACTGATACATATTTCCCAGCAAATTGAATTCTACTGAGCAACAGAATTCCTACATTAAAATAAGAGACTCCCTTCCTGTAAGTCAGGAGAAATTTTAAAAGCTCAGGTTAGTCCCATATTCTAGCTACTTTACACTTGGAAATTACAGTTTTTTATACAATATTATTAATTTATCCCACATTTAACAGGCATTTGCAATAAGTTTGTGCCTAAGTAATGTGCTAGTTGGACAACCCGGGAGAAAGACTTCACTCAGAGTAAGCACACTGGGAACAGTAGTACTGCATTTCAACACGTATGTGGACCCAGATCTCTAGTGCCTATTCAGTGCTGGGGCACTCTGATGAGACTTAACAAATGCATCAATTACACTTGTGATGTGTATGCTTCGGAATGAACTAGTGCCTCTAATTCAATTCAGACAATGAATAACTGTTTGAGGGCAACTATTTTTTTTGTTTCTTGAAATTGCTGACCTCACAAAGACTAAGGACCTAGAAGCAGAAAATTGTTTCTTGTTATAACATCCCAAGAATGCATTATGTTTGTCATCAGTGATTACAGCATTACTTGTGTAAATGCCATATTTAAGGTAGCAACACTATCAAGATATACGGCCACCTTAACTGACACACACACAGCAATAGCAGGGGTCAGGGTAGAACACAAGGCAATAAAACAGAATGCAATACCAGCTTTTCTCCTCTGCTAACTGCAGTTCAGTCTGGCATAACTATGGAGAAAATGGATCTGATAATCTCGGTATTGACATGGGTGTCAAGACCAGCTTGATGTCACAGGTAGACTACTCAAAAGGTGACTGGCTCCTTCTCTTGACAGAACTGCTACAGCCAATCTACATGTGGATTAGCAGAGCTCTAAACCAGCCACGCTGGCTCTAGCCAGTTCACTGAACTTTAGTTTTGTGCAAAATAAAAGTGTTTTTGATTCATGCTTGTCCTACTTAAGGATCCATAATATATATGTACATACCTAACATTTATGAATATTTGCAATAAATCCTTTTGTCATGTTGCTACCTTACTGGTTGCCTGTGGCGAAACCAAGTCTTAGGAAAAATGATACTCCAAGCTAGCCCTATAATTCTTTCACAAATCAAAGGGTAATCACCTGGAGTGGGCAAAGATTCCCTTGCTGTAGCTGTGAGATCCAGTATAAGGGGAGTGGACGGGAGGCCTAAGGGAATTACCCCAGGGCAAACCTTGGTCCCATCCTTTGGAATAAATGTCTGCAAGCTAGGACAGCAGGGAGAAAAGTGGGGCTCTAGGGTTACCCTGCAAAGGGGTCTGTGACATGGTTTTATTACTGCTACCCTCCTCCTCCTCCTCCTTTTTCCTTCTATTATTTGTAACATCACACTCATTGCCGTGTCTTGTCTGAAATGACAAACTTTCCTGAGTGTAGATCATATCTTTCTGCAGTACACGCCTAATTCAACAGCGCTCTGATCCTGACTGAAGCCTTTAGGTGCTACTCCAGTTGAACACTGACACTTCTATCTTATGTAATTATGTATTTCTTTACAGCCTAGCATCTCATACTTATCAAGGGACTATTCTGATGCCATTATAGGGAACTAGGCTTGATGATCTAACTGGTCTTCTCCATCTTTACATACTATCAACCTATCTGAATATTATGGATTATCTGCAAGTAATCAATGCACTTCTCTATTTAAATTTCCTGACAGTTGGACATATTTAACATCTCAGCTACATCCACCTTGCCTACCAAAATTTCTGAGAAAGAACAAGAAAATACTTAAGATGGTGGGTACAAAAAAAAGACATACTTCTCTGGTAGCTATACACACATGAAATGTGATCCTTCAGTGAGCTGTGGTTGGGCTGATGGAGCTGGTGATGATGGGGACTCTGGTGAAGAGGACAGACTTTTCACTGCAAATCACATAAGGAAAATCAAGAATAAAATTCACAAAAGGCTTAACCAACTTGAAGCTATTATTTCAAACAAAATAATCATAACACAAAAGCTAAAAATGATAAAATAACTGTTTTTAGCCAGCATTACACAACCAAATTAACATTACTTCTGACAGTTCTGAAGGAAGGCATGTGTTTACACACATATTGGTGCAATGGCCATGGAACATACATGACACAGGAGGGAGTCGCTTGCAGTATGGAGGAGGTGGGACTTCTATTTTTAAAATATGAAGGGGATTCTTTACTTAGGTTATTAGACAGAGACATGAACCAGGTTATGAAGACTAATGTGCACTTCCTGCTGCTCAGGTCATCTCTATTGCAAAATCCCCAAATGCCAGGGGCTCTGAGCAAGACAGGAAGGACAACAGGATGCAGAATGCACTTAGGGACAATACATCTGAAGGAAATCCAAGACTAGGGCATATCCTGTCTTTCTCCTTTGAGTCCTTGTTCATATGTAGGCAATTCCAAAGCAGTGCCTCCAAACACGTGAAAGCAAGTTTCAGAATCCTATACAAACAGTAACCACAGGCTTGATTTGCCGAATGCGGTATCTGCATTAGGAACCTCTGTGATGGCACAATGCAGCAGCTGCCAACCTAGAAGTCATGCTAGGTTTTAGCACCTAGATTTAATAATAGGGGCAAGACTCACACTGGAAATGGGATTGCAAACTAGCCAGAAGTGCACTAAAGTGCAGAAAAAGACTGGGAACAACTGGCAGAAGGTGAAGGTGTACATAAATTATCTGATCAGACCAGAGTCAGTAGGATTGGTCATGTGGAGTCCTTTCTCATGTTGCACAGCACCTACGCAATTAGAGGCACAAGGCAGAAAGACCATTTCCCTACCACAGGAGACAAATGTCACAAAGGGAGCAAAAAATCCGCTTCTTGTTGATACCTGAGGCAAAGGCATTCATCTCTGGATGGCCCCACCTGAAAATGTCCCGTAGGACAGATTCAGGATCTCCTATATGCTTGCTGAGACTGTTCATTCAGGTATTCTGAAGGAGGGGAAGAGATCTTTCTCATTCCTTGTTTGTTGATATAAAAAATTGATGTGGTACTCTACTGTACAAGTATCAGGCAAGCTCTGTAGACTGCCCTGCCTTCCAGAACACTGGTATGTAAGCTTTGCACTCGATGGTCATTCATGTGTGCCCTTCATTCTAGCAGGGAGGCACCCCTCACAGTTGTCAATGATGCTTGGAAGAAACAAAACCTCCTGCAGTTGTTCATAATCCTTGCATCAAGTGAAGAGGAACCTGAGCAGCAAGGGAACTGTTATTTCCATAGCTAGTAGAACTGATGGATATTAAACATAATTGTGAGCATCAGTGTAATCCAGTATGTAGCATCACATAGGTGCAAGAAACTGTGTCCTAGGATGGATAGTTGAGTCTTGACTATTGTCTGGATTTTACTGAATCTGCGTGATGGGATCCAGAAAAGACCAATTTGGTTTTGAGGATGCTAAGGTGGCTGACATGTTCAAGAGTGACCCCCTATAAAAACTCCAGTCTTTGAACAAAGACCAGATTCATTTTTTGGATGTGCACTATGAGATCTAGGGTATGGAACAAGCACAGGACGGTGCAGAAATTCTCCTCCCCCTCAGTGACGGAGGTGCCTCCCCTAGCTGCTCCTTTGATAAACATCATTATCACTGTAAAGACCCTGTGCCATTTTGGGTCCATTAGAATTCCAAAATGGAAGTACTCTGCATTGGTAGTGGTCCTGGATTACCATGAATTGGATGCATTTTCTATATGAAGGCATAAAAGCAATGTGAAACTATGCTCCCTCACAACCAAGAGATGTGAATCAGTCTTCTGGTTTCAGGGAGGGGATAAGGGCAGCCAGTACTACTACCCTGAACTGGAATGTGTGGATAAAGGAGTTAAATTTTCTTAATTGTGATGGGACACCATTCTCCTTTCCTTTTTGAGAGCAGGAATTAACCATTGTAGAACGTTCTTCCCCTTTGTGATAGAAAAATCTTGCGAGAAGAGTCCCTAAGAAAGGACAGGGAAGTGGGATCTGAGTGGGAGTAGGCACTATGCTTGTTTGGGTGATAGAATCATTGAAAATTAGGGTTGGAAGGGACCTCAGGAGGTCATCTACATTTAGTCCAACCCCCTGCTCAAAGTAGGAACAACCCCCACTATATCATCCCAGCCAAGGGAGAGCTAACTATGATGGTATCTCAGAAACACTTGCTGTAACATGGCCTGTGTCTGCCAGAAATGTACCAAAGGGAAAGGAGTGGGACAAGTGGGAAGGAGGAAGTGGGCTGAATTTTTGGACTACTGCGCTAAAGATTCTGCCTGTTGTCCAAAGATTGGTGAGTCGATGGAACCATCTATGAAGGAAAGTGCTAACATGTCCGTGAGGACTCTGGAGAGTGGTACATGAATGGCAAAGAAGAAAATGGGTTCAGCCTGCTCATAGTCTCCTGGGCTAGGGACAGACATTACACACAAACTGGTTTAAGTGATCAGAAACTGGTTTAAACCTGTTACAGAACAGGTGTTCAGTGCACATAAACCAGTTTGAAAATGGCTGAAACTGGTTTGAGATGAACCTGGTTGAATGTAGTATCAGACTGAACTGATTTGGGTCAAACTAGTTTATGCGATGTCTGTCCCAGACCCTGAGAATGGACCTGGAGTTCTGAAGGATGAGCAGAATCTCATCTGCTTTGGAGTTAAAACGTTTTGCCCCATCAGTGAGAAGCTTCTCCAACAGTGCTTGGCACTTCCATGGGAAAGCCAGACTTTGAAGCCATGACAGCCAAGCATGTGCATTCATAGTAGCATGTGCATATGGAAAAGTGGGTAGAGGAGAGTGGATATTCCCTCAACACTCTGTTCTTGCAAGGTGTGTCACTAAAAGTGCTTCAAGCACATCGGGCTCTGGGATGGAGGGGGCACTTTCAAGAGTCACTCTAATTAAAACATCCACAGCATCACGTGTATTCAGCGTCCCATGCTTCAAAATGGTGGCTTTGATAAGCTTTAGTTTAAGTGTCCCTGCACTTCAAAATTGCACATGGAGCAGACAAACAGCACATGTATAGGTGCCCACTGTGCTCTGTTTTTGCCATCCTTCCCTTAGACATGGACACAGGCAGACAGAACAAGTTCTCTCTTCCTGGTCCATAAACTGATGGCTGAATTGGGAACTAAATAGCTATACAGTATTCATCACTGTAGTATCTTATCTCTAACTGGAACGCACAGGAAGATGAACAGCAACATTAAGAACTGACTGGGACCAGCAGCAAGCAGGCAGGCTGAAAATCCAATAAGAACTGGGGAGGGTCAGTGAAGAAGAGTTTGTACCACCTTGGCAGGAATTGTCCCGTTTCCCAGTTATTGGAAACTCTCTCATCCTTGAATGAGCTTGTCCCCCCCAAAAAAGAGTCTCGGCCAACAAAGGTTTTTCTGAGTCATCTACTGGGAAATTAGTCAGACCTGTTTTACACCTCAGAGATGCAAAAATATGCATATGGAATCAAGGTTAGCTCAGCTCTCTTTGGACTACCCTAGAATTTCAGAGCAATCAAAATATAACCTCAGAACATGTGCCATGTATGTAAAATTTAATTTCAATTCATGCTTCCATGCAATCGACTAATCAAATGTATTTTCCATACCTGCCAATGTCTGTACTGATAACTCAAAAGAAGAATTAAACCCTTCTTGTTCTTGAACTCCAGCTGCTTCATTCTTTTCTGGTCTAGTTTCAGGTTTGTGGTTTGCAACTGAGGCCACATTCTGCAAACTAGTTTTAAAAAAAGGCACTACTTTTAGTGCACATTCTAGCTTAATTTCAAGTGTTAACTACATTTACATCTCGTTTGGAATTACACTGCATATTTTTTTTCAATTAAGAAGCAAAAAGACCATGCTGCGACTTGCAAAGTATTTAAATCAAATACACATTCCCATAACATACACTAATTTTGAAAACCTGAATTCAAAAGAAAAAGTTTCAGTTTTTGTTTCTACCTTATAAAATTAGACTTCAGAGTAAAAACTATAAACTGATGACTGAACAGGTTTTTTTTGTTTATGTGCTCACGCTGTTAAATTAAAGGCAGCAGGAAAGGTAAAGGGCACAATGTGGTGAGAATGTCCTGATTTTGTGGGGCAGCCCCACTCAGCATTTACAGGAAGGCCCATTTGCCCAACTTCCAGTCCCATCAAATGCATCAAAGCTCCAGCACTCTTCTGATTCTGAAACATTTCAATTCGAAGAAGTACCCAAGGAAAGAATGGGGGCAGATGGGTGGGTCAAAAAGTCAAGCCTGCTCTTTAGTTGATGACTTCTATATACAGAGCAGCAGTGAAACATGGAAAGCTTGCTCTCAAAGCATTCAGTCTTGGATAAAGTGTTTCACAGTAGGCTTGTGGTATGCTCTACAGAAGAGAGGAAAGATATTAAAGATTTAACCCCAGAGGACATAATTGAATACCTCCTGCATCTCAAAACAAAATACATATTGTGCTTCTCCATGATGCATATACTGTGCCTGCAACTGAGACAGCAACAGCAATGTTTCAGGTATTAGTGGTGAAGAAAAACACTAACTAGGACAGGGGGAAAAGCTGACCCAAAAGTCAGTTCAGGGGAGTGCCTTTTACACCAAGGTATTTTATGGTTCTTTATGTTTCCCCGCTGAGTAAGATCTAAAAATCAGTGTTGTCCAAGGCCCCTCTTCAGTACCAATCCACAGCAGACAACCTCAATGAATTCCTAGTGTCAACAGGGTGGTTAAAATAACGTTTTTTCCAATAAACATGAATCTGCTAGGAATTTGAAGAGAATTCAGAGGCATTCAGAATATAGCACTATAGCTAAACATAGCACATTTAGTTCCAGAGTTATGTTGCATTTCTTTGAAGGAAGAAGTCTGTGTTCCCCAACAGACACTGGGTTTGTCTAGAAATACAAATTAAAAAGGGCTAATGAGAAAAACCTGTATTATTATTTATTTATATCCCATCCTACACAGAACTTCTCCGGGCAACTAACAATAAAAGACATGCAATCTATGAAGTAAGAAACAACAGGCTCTCCAAATATCCAACCCCCAGAACTTAAAAACACCAGTTTACCCCACCCACCCATTCCCACCAACTGTCCTGGCCTCACATCCAGGGGAAATAGTTCTACCCTCCCCCTCAAAGTTCCCCCCCAAGCCTACACCTCCATCTCCTGCAGAAGGCTGTCCTCAAAAACACATTCATTGCCCCATATTTCTTAGGCCCCTGGCAGACACTACACTTGTGATGCAATTGACTGAGTCTTAAATAGTAATCTGGCCACATGTTCAGGCAATAAATGGTGTCAAAGGATGGGAAACCAGCCACAAAAATATTACACATTTGTTTTTGTTTAATATGTTTGTGGCTGGTTTCCACCAAACTTTAAAAATGAATGTGTGGCAGGATTAGGACTGCACCTTAGTGTCTTGGGTTGTTCTCCCAGAATTTAGCTCATTATCCCTGAAGGTCTGAGAAATGTGATTTACAAGGAAAAGCTAAAAGAACTGGAATTATTTAGTCTGGCAAAGAGAAGACTGAGAGGGGGTGATAATCTTCAAATACTAATGGAAGAGTAGTTAAAGAAGATGGTGACAGACTATTCTTTGTGGCCACTACTCCAGGACAAGGGGCAATGGTCTTAAATTTCAGCAACAGAAATTTAGGTTGGATATTGGGAAGAATTTTCTCACTATGCAGGTGGTTAAACACTGGAAAGAGGTTGTGGAATGCCCATCCTTGGAAGATAATAGGCGCAAGTTAAGGGAAAATTTACCTAGGATGATTTAGGTAGGGATGATCCTGCCTGGAGCAGGGGAACGGACTAGATGACCTTCTGGCTAGGTACAGACATTTAAAAAGACTGAGGCGGAAGCACTCAAACCTATGCATGTTTCTGTAGATGCTTTAAGTTTAGGTCAGGAGTGACATAACAGAAGTTCGCTATTTGGAGGGGGGGAGCATGAAACTGCCTGCACTGGCCAAGGCCAGGAGGGTGGGGGTGCTTAAGCACACCTCCCAGGCTGCTGGGGATTGCCAAGCACTGCTGAGTCAGTGACAGGCATCTCCAGCCTGGTCTGTTCCCTGTCACTACATCTGGCTCACGGGAAGCTTGGGGGTCTCTCAGCGGATGTGCGGGAGCCCACTGAGACACCCCCATACCTCCTGAGAGCAGGCGCAGTGATGGGGAGCCACATGTGCTGCAGATGCCTATCATGCTGACTGCTGATGGGGGAGGGAGAAAGGGGGATTGGCCATGACAGCATGATGCCCACACACAGCCCTGTATCCACCACCTGCACAGAAAGGGAGAGCACTCGCTTTATTCTTGTTTCAAAACAGGAGCTGTCTTGGGCAGCAGGGAAACAGGAAGCAGCTGGGTCCACACAGGGTAGAAGGGAAAAATTCCCCAAGCAGTGACTTGCATGAACCTGTCACCCTCAGCTCACACCCCTACAACTCACCCCGCTACCCCACACACACACCCCTACACCCCCACCAGTCCCTCGCACTGTGGCATGGAGAAGCAGAGGGGCCAAGCACAGTGAAAAGCCACTCCAGCTGGCCTGGAAAATGGCTACTGTGGGGACAATGGGGCACAGCTCCCCAGCACTGCAAGAGTGGGGCAGGTGGAAATGATCATTATGGTGGAGGCAGGAGGGGGGAAATTTAAAACAATTAAAAAGGAGAAGTCCAGCATAGCCTGGCTGCTTGGCAAGGGGATGGCAGTGGTGTCTCCATCTTTCTGCAGCAGGCAGCAGCTTTCACAATGCAAAGAGCTTAGAAAGAAGCAAAGAACCGAGAAAGGAAGCAAAAGAAAAAAAAAAGAGAAAAGGAGATGATTTGAAAATATTTTTCTTTCACCCTTGCAAACTCTCCCCATCTATCTCCCTTGCTCTCACACTCCATCTCTCTCATACTGCCCTGCCCCACACTCTCCCTCTCTCCTCGATAACTCTCCTGATGGCAATCAAAGGGGCAGAAAATTAAAACAACAACCAACAACTTTTAACCTGGCTCAATCAATTGATCTATAACACAGGGAACCAATCCCCTTTCCTCCCCTCCTCCCCCGTCAGCAGTCAGCATGACAGACATCTGCAACCTGTGCAGCTCGTTGTCCCTACACCCGCCCCCTGGAGGCATGGGGGTCTTTTGATGGGGTCCTGCACACCCACCAAGAGGCCCTCTCTTGCCTCCCAAGAGTGGTGGCAGTGATAGGGAGATAGACATGGCCAATCCCCCTTCCATTCCCCCTCCCTCATCAGCAGTAAGCATGACAGGCTTTTCTAGCCCACATGGCTCCCTGTCAATGGGGGACTAGCAAGGCCTTCAAAGGCAACTGGAATGCCGGTGGACAGCAACCTACCTTGATTCATGAGTGGACCTGGTATTGGAAGTTTAATTCACTGGTCTAACCTAGATCGATTAAGTCTAATACCACATCGATCCAGGTCTATCTTAGACCGGGATTCGCCATTTTTAAAGCAGTCTATGTGTTCTGAACTTCTGTCCCGTTACGGGTTTAGACTGGTTTCCGACCACCTAAACCAGAAAAAGTGTAATGTCTGTACCTGGCCTCTAAGGTCACAGTCCTACTTTTCTATGACTCTAACAAAGATAAAAATTAAATTATGGCTCCTTTAAGCTAGCTGCTTGACCAGATCAACTGATAACTCCAATATCATGGCTGCTTTGAGTTATGTAGCTTTATTTTTTTGTTTACCTGGCATCAATCTCATGTGCTTTTTCCAGTTTCTTTTGTTTTTCTGCCTTCCCTCCAGCATTTACTTCGTTTGGCTCAGATACAATACAGGTGTCTGACAACAGGAGATCATCAGTTTTTGTCAACTTAAAAAAATTGAAATCATAAAACACATTAAGGAAGTCATAAGTACATACTGAATAAGGGGGTAGGAAATTTGAGGATTTGAGGAATCATTGTAATCATTTGGAGGGGGGATTTCAAAGTTCCAGCAAACCTGTCGTTTGCTAGTTGTGACAGTAAGAGGGAAAGACATAATGTGACATCAAATGGAATTGAAGAAAAGCCGAAGCAAGTCTGAGTAAGAGAAGCAACCTTTCAATCATATACCAGTATGATACAATTTGGGTATTTTGTTGAAATATTACAACAAAAACTGGCGCATTTAAATAACATTTTCTATAATCCTGCTCCATTTAATCATTCCCAGCAAATGTTATTTCTGAAGTCTCTACATACTGCTTTCTCCACCCCAGGATACTTGTATTAAATACAGTTTAGTACCTTTTTGGTAAAATCCACATTATGCTGTTGTTGTTCATTATTGTCTTTTAGTTGTGCTATTTCTCCTAGAGGAGTTTCATGATTTTGTTCCAGATTATTCTCTCTGATGGCACACTCTAATTCCTTAATGTTACCAGACAGTAAATCATCCTTTCTTCGATTCTGTAAGATAATATGATACTCAGAGGTACTGAATGGCATTACTGCATACTACCTTGCTGTTCTTATTCAAGACATACAATATCTTGTCCACAAAAAAAAACAACTATACATGCTCAAACTAAGAGCTGACCATCCCATTTCTTCACATTTTTGTGGCAGGTTGTTACTATAATGACAGATATTGCTACTGTACATACAATTACAGTTAATTTCTTTTGAAACCTAAACTTCGGGCTTCCTGACTTTTGTGCAGCAAAACCACCAACTGTAATACTTCAGTGGCAGTTTGTTGCTTATAGTAGATAGCCATACATTTTATAACTACATCATACATTGAGAGGGAGGGGAGCCTATAGTTATCCTTAAGTTTACACTACCCAATATTTTCCACTATAAAAGATTCCTGCACATTGTTTTTAAAGGTCTAACATTTCTATGGTTTACTGAAGGCCTTTTATATTGGCATTGTTGGGTAAAAGAAGTGTCTGTTCTTTATTCCATGAAATTCAGTTGACACTTAGCTGAGTTATAAACTGGAAAAACTTCCTTTTTTCTCTGTTTCAATTTGTGCCCCTGGAAAATTCTGGCATCCTGCTATACATGAAAAATTAAATTAATAAATCCCACAGCCATGCCATCACTACACACCGTTTGACTTAAGCAATCGGTTAAGCAATCTTAAACAGTCATTTGACCATATTTACAGCATGCTAAGGGACTTTTGGCATACCTGTGTCAATTTAAATGGATTATCCCTGAAAAAAGATGGGCTTTGGGCAGGAGACTGATCTGATATGCCAATAATATTTATTCCTTTTTTCTTCTCTCTGAGACAAGCTTGTTGGTGCCGCTTTATTCTTTCCATCTGCTCCTCCACAGTCATTCGAGGCCGAGTGCTTTCTGCCAGACATAACTGCTCCACTGCACTTCTTGGTCTTTCCTTAAAAAGGGAAGAATTTTTAACACTTTCAAAATGAAGCAATGTTCTGAACTACCTGTTCAATCCGTTTAGCTTGACAGGGAGGAAAATACTGGGTACTTAACAAATGCTTCAATCTAGTAGACGAGGTTATAATAAAAACGAACTGCTAGAAGTTGAAATCAGAGAAACTCAGTGTAGAAAGAAAGGTAAAAATATTAATAGAGAAAATGATGAGGGTGATTAACTATTGGAACAATTACTAAGGGGAGTGGTGGATTCTACACTGCTTGATGTCTTCAAATCAATACTGGATGCCTTTACAGGAGGTATGCTCTGTCAAATAAAAGGTACTGGACTCAAATACAGATGCTAGATGAAGTTTAATTGCTTGTCAAGCACAGGAGATTAGATTAGATGATTTAAAAATTCCTTCTGGCACTATGCTTTATGAATGAGTACAGCTGGACACATCTTGCTTTTAGGCCAAGACTAACTAAGTTTAACACCATTTCTGAGTTTTTATACTATATGTAATCTAGAAAAGGTTTGTGAAGGGAATGAAGTAAAACTGCATATATTTGTAAAATAAATGTTGATCAACTAAACCAGGGCTTTACCTTAACAAGGCTAATAGTTCTATTGACTTGTAGTCCCAAAGCAAGAAAAGCACTTATTTAGCATCTTGTCTAGCTGTAATACTTGTGACTATTAGAAAATCTTACATGCTCAGTTGCTTTTCTCACAAACCTGTAGCTTTTTGCCAATTCAAATGTAATGAAGTCTAACAGTGTTCTGGTCAAAGTAACTTTTAAAATAATGCTATTCCTTCCTTAGATATTGTGCCTGCTAAAGAGCTACATTTCATTTAATTGAGGATAACACAATGTTTTATTTAAACTAGATCAAATAAAACAAGATACAGCTTTCAAGGAAAGAACAGGTCCATGAACTGAACTTAGAAAAATTGCTATACATCTTAAAGTTTTCAAACTGACTTTAAATACCGTTCTTAAATCTATCTTCTTGTTTTTCCTTAAAGTGACATAAGAGGCTATCGTTGAAGATTCTGGAGTGGGTGATTTGGTTCGGGGAGGCACAACTCCAACAAGAAAATGTGAACCTATAAAACAAAAACAGCAACTTAACTATTATATTTAACAGCACACACAAAGCCATATGGCTTTTCTTAGATAGTATAGGTTGTCAGGATGTGAAACCATTCATTAACAGGTGGTCAATGTTTCACTTACCATAAACTCTGATGCTTAACTACTATATCTGCAATTATCTTTTTCTGTTTAAAGAAACCCCTGTCAAACTGAAACCTGGTCCTTACTTAACCAAATGAGTTAAAAGCAACTAACTTAAATGTGTTCCTTTTTACCTTAATGATGAATAAAGCTGAATTATTTTTATTTAAAAAGATTGTAACCCCTTATTTTTGTTTAACCTCAAACATCTACCACATCTAGAAAGTTAAATATGGTCTTCCTTGGTTTTCTTGGAAGCATTCATATAGGTCTTGGAGAACAGTTCACTGTCTTTAGTGAAGGCTGCTACCTCTCCAGTTAAGCTTCATTTCCCCCAAATATTAAATCTTCAGTTAAATAATGGCATTAAATAGGTGTTAAAACAGTCTCTCTAGGACCTGAATTTGCACGCCCAAGGAAAGCTGAGCCTCTACCCAACTCAAGAAAATTGAACAAATCTTTCAATCTTTTCTTTAGATAATAAAGTTGTAATAAATGTAGAGCACAAACTTATTTTTCTTCTCCATAGTCCTTTACCATATAAAAGCTTTCCTGTGTCATTTCCAGGGCTGGAGGTTTTACATTATCTTTCTGTCTTTAGAACTTTCCTCTTCCTTGTTGATGTACAAGAGACAAACAAGAAGAAAATAGCTGACAGAGAGGAAACATTCAAAATGACTAGTTAAGTTTATCTGGGGCAATAAGAAATCTCAACTCAAAATTTCCATCCTGAAAAGACCTTAGCAAAAAGGGGACCAAATGTTAAATATTATTATCAAGCCAGGCAAATTAGAAAGCTGGTGTATCAGATAACATCAATTCACAGTAAGTACTGGGTAAAGATAGAATAAACTCTTCCAACAGTCAGACTCGATGTTACCAGGGCTAAAGAAATCTTGCAGGCCACCCCATTATGACAGCAGTAGTGGAAACATAGGATAATACATAAAAGAAATTAAGCTCATACTAGTCATCTTTACCATCTATAGGTAGGCTGACCATAAGGAAATCCAGGACATCTGGGACACTGTTGTGTTCCCCCTTCCCCTGTACTCTCACAAGTCAGCAGGGGTGGGGTGGGCTGCCTGGTAGCCAGCAGTGCCTGCCTGCCCACCTGCAAGATGCTCCATGCTGCTCCGACTCCTGGCCAGACTGTGCCCTGTGCCCCTCCTGTATTTTCTATTATAATTCTCAACAACCGGTTGGGTCTGGCTTCTGAAGTCCAGGACTGTTCTGGCTAAATTGGGATGTATGGTCACCCCATCTATAAGTAATAATGTTGAATTTAATCCTAATAAATTAGTATGGAGTTTTAGTATCTGGGAATATATCCGTATACTGCAATTTGGACAATTATTCAAAACAGTATATATTTAAACATTTTGAAGAAATACAACATAAAACAAGAGACATTAAAATCCCATTTTTCCAATACCAATTGAGACAATTTTCAACACACCCCCAAAGAAAGGTAGAAGACATTAGAGGAAAGCTGACACTCTGTGAAAATATTGGTCACACCTTGAAACACACGTCTATTGTATGTGTTACATAAAGCAATTTTAAATAGCCATAAAGAGGAAAAAAATCATTCATGAGAAAATGGGCTATAGGCATAGGATCAGATATTAGGGATCATATCGAACAATAGTCCTCACACATTCATATTTATGACAATAAAGAAGAAAACTATTTTAAAATTCTTTCACACCACTTAAGAGTTGTAGAATACTGATCACTTATTTTACTGTAGCTACAAGAATTACAACTACAAAAGCCTGAAAGAGAAGCAACTCTCCTAAATCACTGATAATTTCAAAAAGTTTGGGAAGTTTTAGCACTGGAAATGTTGCCCTATCAAGTCAACATTCCATGGAGGAGAAAGAAAAGAAAAGAGGCTTACTTAGAAATCTAGTGGAAATTTCTGGGATTTGATGAACAATAATCTTATACCCACCCTAAATAAAAAAAATGGAGAAACTTTTTGAATATTGCAGGAAAATACAAGTTTTATAAGCCAACTGTCACAACCCAAAGTTGTGGGTTTTTTTGTCTGTGTGCGCTTCGGCATCGCTAAATTGTGTTCCCGCTAAATTGCAGCTCTTTTGCATGGTGGAGCGTTCTGTTGCAATTAAGAACCTGCGTGCAGGAGCTTTTCCCGCCAGTTCTGTAGCCTTCTTTGCATCCATACAAAAGGCTTGGGTAGTTTCCGCCCAAGTCGGAGAGAGAGAAAGCACGTGGAGTTCGGGAAAGTAGCGTGAGGATCTCTAAGCGCTGCTGATCCTCTCGAACCCAGCTTTTTCCTTAAGAGGGCAACAGAAGTTTAATTTGTCAAACCCACGGAGCTTCAACAACTCCGGAGGACCTATTTACCGAACCCCCGGAGCCTTAACAACTCCGGGGCATATAACCTCTAGCCTCTCCCCGTCGCTGATCGCAGTCCAGACGTATCCCTATCGTATGGACCCAACTGTCGAACCCACGGAGTCTTAACAGCTCCGGGGGACCTGGGAACCGAGTAACCCACGGAGATTCAGCTGCTCCGTGAACGAGAATTGTTGAACCCACGGAGCCTAAACCGCTCCGGGGTCAGGAACTGAGTCTATTAGAGTCCTCCACCAAGAACTCAAGCGGAGCTGTGCCTGGAAAGCTGACCAGCCTACACCGTGACCACCTTGGGTGTAAGTAAATAATCTTTTCAATCAACCATTACGCCTCTGTGACTGATTCTAGCTCGAGCGTACCATACCGCGCCGCGGTTTTTTCCAGCCCCGCGTGCCCGGGCTGCTGGCCACAGCCTGTGTGCACAAAGACGGGCCCGGCTTGCCCCCGAGATCGGGAGCCGGCCCGCACACCAACAAATTTGGAATGAATTTGAAATCTAAAGCAGAGATGGGTAGAAGATAGTGAGCCCTGTATCATGCAGAGTTCTGAGGAAAACGAAGGGAAATGAGGGCAGGTTACAGACATGAAGAAACACAATTTTAACAATGACCATGAAAAGTAAAGGAACTGTTGAAGACTGAAAAAGAAGAAAATAACACAAAGCTCTCCTCTATGAATTAAAGGAAGCATTCTTGACGGAAGGTAATATCGGTCTTTATGTACAGATTACAGAATTGGATCTTTATATGTTATGTTTGTTACTTGATCAATTGGACTCATTAAGAAAGTTAAAAAATGACTGATAGTCTAAAGTGTGCAAAGTAAATTGAATAGAGAGGTGGTTAGCCATGTTACTTTGAAGTGAAGCAGAAGATAGGGCAGTAGGTGGCTGCCTACAAAAGTCCACTGGTGTCCCTTCTGCCTCTACTGAAACTATCGGGGATACAAAGGAACAGAAAAAAAAGGCTTATCGAAACCACGCAGATATCAAATCAATACATAGTTAACTATACACTGTGCTGGATGTAGAGCATAATGAAGAACTGACTGGTTATTCCTTTTCTAGCATTGTGGGGATTTTTCTGCTTTTCTTTTTTTTTTTGAAGTCAGAACAAACAACAACAAAAAACAAATAAAACAAATAAAAAAATCAAAGTATTCACCAGTATGGACAGAACTAGCAAAACACAGTTAGAAACCACTACTATAAAACTACCACCATCAGCTGATGTGGAAGAAGTCTCCCTCCATTTGCCTGCATGGAGGGTCATAGTAACTTTTCAAAACATCTGTTTCAGATAAGAAACTTTAGCGTCACCTATTATTCTGGGAGACAATCGTATTACTTCTTCATTGATGGATCAAGATAAATATCACAGAAGGCTAAAGAAAGAATCACCATGAGATTGCTTTATTTAGTCCTTTTTGATTTCACAGTGATCATGGATGGTACTCTTTAAATATCTGAAACTCAAGTAGTTCTCCGACTGTTATGGCCACATCATATATCATTTAAGGGGTACTTAGTCACCTACATGTGATCCTATTCCAGCCAACTCAAGTCCCTGAAAAACGGTTTGTGTCTACTTAACCTTAAAACTAAGTCACAAAAAGCAGCAGGAACATGCAAGACTCATTCATTTTGTACTATTAATAGTTTTTTAGATTCAAGCAGGGTGGGATAGGAATAATTCTCTGGTTGCTCCCGATGCTGCTGCCAAAATACAAAGCCTCACCTGCCCACCTCCACTGTGCATGCTCCAAACCCAAGACTGAGGCATGAGACACACTCCAGAGATATTCCAAAACACTACTCTCAAGATCTTTGTTTCTGGTGCACTTCAAAAGAAGTGGTGGAGGCATTATTATCGCCTCATTTCTGGGTTAGGAGTGTATAGGTCGGGATTTATTTCCAGCACTATCTTATGGCCAAATTCAGCCAAGAAGCAAAACACCAGGATGTCCTGAAATGTCAACAGAACAAGACAAAAAAGGAGCGACTTGCTGGCAGAGGCCACTACAGGCTTTTATGCACCTTGCTCAGATATTCCCCAGTTTGGATTTGTGGAGGTATTCAACACATACTTCTAATATTGAGAAGATCTTGACAATTGCATTTTCAGAAGTCACGATTCAACAAGCTGTTTTATACATTGTTACCAAGGATATCAGATTCTTTAAGTGAGAGCGTTCCCAGTGAAGGATTAGACTGAGCAATGAATAGCTTCCATGGGGGTTGGATGAAGAAGAGAATCAGAAGCATTCAGCCACTGCAAGGATCTTTATTGGGAGTATACCCAACAAGACAGAAGGCAATTCAACAATTACTAGATTAAAACAAGAAAAATACATTGTTTCCTTGTCTCATGAGTCTGAACATTCTGTGGTGCTGCCATTTTAGACATTCCAGTGACAAAGTTGAGAGTTGGATTCAAGAACCAAATAATTGTTCAAAGGTTAGGACAGAAAACGGGTAATTGTTCAAGAGAGCAGTGCGTGTGGAATATGAGTGATGTGATGAGACACAATGTCAATAAGGATTTCAGGGGTGCTGTCAAGCTAAATATTTGATTTTATTGTGGTTTTACCGAGTGACAACCTTTCCTTAACATGTAACTAAATGATCATCTTACTGTCAAGGTTTTTTTAGTCGAATTAATACATAAACTAAAAAACAAACAATGATGTGGTTCCTATAGTTAGTTACAAGATTTTGTATTGCTTGAGTAACATCCTGAAAAACAGTTGGGAAGTAGCACGCTTAAGTACCAACCTTTAGCCGTAGAAGTTTCTGACTCTGAAACTGGTTCAATCTTTTCTTCTCCATTAGATTCATCAACTTCTGCCACTGTTGTTAACTCTGGTTCACTCTTATAAAGTCTATAATCAGGAGCCTAGAGGATGAGAATCATAAAATGGACATAAACTCCAGTTAAAGTAGTGGAAACATCAATTGTGCTGGTGATTTTTGTTCTAATGTAACACTATTTTAAAAATAACTTTTCACTGCTCAAGGGATAATGTAGCAGTATTCAATTCACCATTAACATGAAACAGTGGCTGCTGATTTCTGAAAGATAAACAAAATATGGCCCAAAATGGGAAGGAGCAAACTTACCATTATTATGTAATATTGAGTCCTAAGAAACAAGAGCTACCTTTAAAAGGGTTTGGCAAACACATGACTTAAGACTAGTGTTTGCACACTTTTGTAAGATTTCAGAAAAACCTGATTTTGGAAAACTGACCAAATGCATGCAATCATCCCGGGAGATTTGCTTTGGTGCAATATAAAACAAACTATACATCTTAGAACAGATTTATATATGCAGGACTAATGAAAATGTCAAACACAAATGATGCATCTAAAAATAAAACTGATTAGCTAAAAAAGAAATTCCATGACACAGAAGCAGCCAGATGTCAAAATAAAATAGTGACAGTGCAAAGGAAGGGGGGAAATGCTTGAAGTACAATGTGGCAATTTAAGCCACTTACACAGTGAGATCCATTTCTCTGATATCCTTGAACTTGGTGAATCTTCTTTTCTTCCAGCAGATGTACTGGGCCCCTGCTATAACAGAGCAAGGAGCTGCTATCACTGGGCAGAGGGGGGATTATGGGAGGATGCTCTGTAAAGTCATAGGACCGAGGGAGTGGAGGACGAGGTGGGACTACTTCCTCTTCCTAAAGATTGTAGAATAGTCACCTTATTTAGATGTGTACACCTGTTACAATTATATATAACTCTTAAAAAGTATATTACTATAGCTGTATCAGATTCATATTTTGGAACTAAAGAGACATTGTCATGCTAAAGAGAGATGATAAACTTAATTGTGTTATAGCACCATGATTTAAGATTAGAATACTTTTTAAAATCTCATTTTCACGATTTACACTACTTACTTTCTCCATGTCATGCAGCTAGTTATATCTGCAGTTTCATCATTTGAATTTTATGCTCCTCACGAATACATCTGAACTCAATGATTTAATTATGCATCTGTTTTCCCTGAAATTCAGTATTAAAAGATTTCCCTGTACATTAGGTTTTCGAAAATCTTTAAAAGCCAATTTAAATTTTGAATGCAAGACAAACATGACAATGTCCCTTTAAAGCTATGATTTCTAGACATTATATGCCTGGTTTTCAGAGGGGTTAAACATTTCAAATGATGGTGGATGATCAGGCCTTCTGAGAACCAGGCTGCATATGAGAAAAGACATGTAAAGCAATATGTTTTTCTACATGAAATGTGCGTGCGTGTGTGGGGGGAAATACAGGGTTCACATTTTTGGGGTGGGAGCCTGGGGACAGGAAGAGGTAAGGAATGGGGAGAGAGAAACATGAATTGGTAAGAATGAGAAGTCACAGAACAACTAACAATTCAAGAATCCCTATCTGGAACTTTACTGTTGAGAATCAATTCCGTAGTTCGGTAATAGACATGCCTATTTAAAAATACTAAATATGCATGCCAAACATCTTTAAACCAGTTGAAAAGTAATTTCTAGTCACATTTATAATTTAGAAATTCAGCAATACTAAAAGGTGCAAAAAATCATACCTCATTTTTATACTTAATAGTTGAAAAAGGCTTGGATACAATGATACCTGTTCAAAAGAAAAGAAGAACATGAAAATGTGTTTTCAGTGAGTAACAAACACTAGCACAGAAGCCAGCCTCTATTGCCCATAAGCTCAGATGCTAATTTAAAATGGTAATTAAATTCAGTTGCTGCTTTTTTTTTCACTTTTCAATTAAGCAAAAGAAGATAGAAACTTTGCCCCTTAGAAGAACAACACAATACAATGTTAGTGTTAAGAGATGAAAGTGGCCAATTTACCCGCCTCTGTAGAACTTCTTTGCTGTTTATGCTTGCTCAAACCTTCCATGACATCTTGAATTCTCCATAGTTCTTTCTGAATCTGAGCTCGCTGTATACCTGCTGACTCAGTCTGCAGTAAGGAAACATTATATATGGGTATGTATATATCTGGAGAATATGGATTTTAATTTTCAGACAACATCACAAACACAAGAGAAAACTAAGGTTTAGGAAGCAATATGATTAGGACTCTCCCATCTCACATTGATAAGTGATAAGATGTTATGGAGGTTAGTGGTTAATGGAAGAGCTGCCATCACAGCAACTGATAGTTAAGACGTCCCTGTGGCCTACTGCAGGCCTGACAGAAGCTTTGCATATCTCATCCTCCAAGAGAGAGGTGAAGCATTCTGACAGCTTGGCTAGTGACACAGGAAGACAAGATCTCTGAATATCCAATGCAGAATGGAAACTGGGGAATTCACTACTGAGCTAACTAAAGCAGCTCTGTTCAGTAGGATAATTGTGTACATGTTGAACTGCTTGCACATCTGTCACTGGCCAGGAGGGAACACCAACAATACAGACTGATGGGTGGATCTGACAGACATTTAAGGGACCATGACTATCATATATGGAACATAAATCAAGGAACTGGCTGGGTGTTAAGAGGCGAAAATCCGTATTTAAATGAGGAAGCAGCCAGCAAAAGAGATAAGCAGCAGTGTGTTTACCTGGAGTAAAAGGTTAGAAATTTCAGCAACTGAAATAAATAGCTGGCCAAAGTCTGTGGCAAGATTTAGTCATCTGATGACACACAATACCTATCTGTTTATTAGTTACCTTTGTTGTGTTTTAGGTTCCTGTCAAACATTTCACATTAACCAGCTAATCACATCTTAAGTTGTGACCTGGCTGCATGTTGAAGCCATTAATGGCATCATAAAAAAAGAAATAAGCCACGAAGTTATTCCACAACAATGTATAATAACTTTGTGGCTGGTTCCCATCACATCATTATCATCATATGCTGGTTCCTATCGCACACTAAAGCTGGGAGCCCAGTTCAGCTGCTGGGGCTCCCAGCTGCTGGTGCACACCATGTCAACTGAACTGAGCTCCCAGTCGCAGGGGGGCACCATATGCCCCCGAGTCTGGGACCCTGCACCTGATGGGCTTATTGTTTTTTAGTGTTCCTTATTATTTGAAAAGTTCAGGACATAAGTTAGCCAGACCTCTACACTGGCATCCAAAAAATACTAGGAAGACAGCAAACATACCAACCATTAACACCTGTGTAAGAAGGGAAAGCATTTTTATTCAGCGTGATCAATCATGTTTCTTTGTTATTTCGAGCACATAGTTAACTCGGTTGCCTGATAAACACTTAGGAGAAACAATTTGCGTGCTAACTATCTAAGATGATAGCATAGTAAGCAATGGTCTCAAATCGCAGCAAGGGAAGTTTATGTTGGCTATTAGGAAAAACTCTCTCACTAGGAAGCTGGTGAAGCATTGGGACAGGTTATCTAGAGGTGGTGGAATCTCCACCCTCTGAGGTTTTTAAAACCTGGCTCAACAAAGCGTTGGCTGGAATGATCTAGTCAGGGACAGTCCAGCTTTGAGCAGGATTTGGATTAGATGACCTCCTGAGGTTTCTTCCAACCCTAATTTCTATGATTCATTCAACTTCAATTAAGGCCTGAAAAGAATTCCCATCCTATGACTTATTTAAGGATGTCCTCAGCAAATACAAGAATTCCGAAGTAAAACAGAACAAAATCTTTTGTATCTACTGAATCACTGGAAGGGAACATAAACCCATAGCTCCTACCTTCCCTTTGTAAGTCATCTTTAACCAAAATCACATAGAGGAAATAAAGAGGTTGTTTATTTTAGCCTTTCATAAGAAAATGATTTAAAAGCACTTCAGGTTAAGACGAGCCTCACCTGAACTTCCCCAAGTCGGTCAAGCTGCTCCTTCATGTGGTTCCTTGTGATTGTTACATCGTACTCTAATTTGTCATACTCTCTCCAAGCTCTTTCCAGCTCCTTAATTTAGAAGGGAAATAGCATTACGATACTAAATGTGTGTTCTCATCCAAGTTAAAAACAGACCTTTCAAAAACAAAAACCTTACAACTGTTTTGACTAGTCCAGCTATCAAAGTCCAGAAGATAACGAATACTCATCCTGAACAAATTAGAAAACATGTTTTTCTTCTGTTTGAAAAGGTTTTCACTTCCAACTGGAACTTAATAAAGCTCAAACAAATTGATTTGTCCTCTGTGGACAACAAGATAAGGAACAGAGAGACCCATTTGTCCTCAAGAGGTTTTTCAGACCATCTTAATCATACTCTCTCATAAAATTAAAGTAGACCAGAGTTTTGATTGTAAGACGCAGCAACACATTAAACATTGTCCATTTTGTCATACAGAATGCAATAGTGTATTTTTAATATTCAAAGAACCAAAGCTGGGCAACTCTTCCTGAAAATATTAAACAAATCAAAGTTCCTTGTTTTGGGGTCTCCAGGTATTTTGTGGCTACTGCACAAAAAGCAACTGAACATTTTTCCCAACTCCAAAAAGTCAAGGAATGAAGTTTTCCATTTTCTATTGCCATTCAGTACATCTTTTGTCCCATTATCTTCACCTTTTTGCTCTGGTGAAAAGCAAACAGTTACCTGTCCACACCTGAGCATCTCCTGACAAAAAGTCATACAAGATGGGGGATGAAGGGCTGATGCATGTGCCTCAAACCAGGGGTTTGGATTTTCTATACCTTATTCTACCTTGTCTTTCCATAGAAAGTAAAACGTGGGAAGTTACCTTTTGGGTCCTTGAGACTAACCAATTAACAATAAGTTTACTTTTGTGAATCTCTAAATGCTAGATGGATGGAAACCTCTGCTCCTCAAATTCCACCCTGCCTCCCCCCCCACTTCCTTCTCCGGTTTGCTCAATCTTAAGCAATTTTTAGCAACAACAACAAAAAAAGACTTAATTAACAGCAGGGGTGGGGGCAGGGAGCAAAAGCTGGAAGAGGGAGAACAAATACAGAGACCCTGGTGGCAGCAGCAGGAGGAATGATGTGGGGAATGATGCCTGGACCTGGACCCCACAGAACACAAGTTAACCCCCTGAGGTCTAGATGTAGCCCATGGGCGGCCTGTTGAACAGCCCTGATCTAGGAATCAGGCTACCAAACCTGGGCAGCAACCGAGTAGTGTAGTACCAACAGATCTTTTAACCTAAAGAAACAGAACTGTCTGTGAACTGAGAGGCTCTCTGGCTGTGTCTATTGTATGTTAATATGTACCAATATGATATCATCACTGAGAAATATAAATTAGAGTGCAGTATCTGAGAAAATCTGCGTCATTCTACAGTAAGTTATTGCTCACTTGCATTCTACAGTTTGCTTCACAATCAAGTCTTAATCTCAAAAAATGAAAGCTACTATGTATTTGCCCCTTCTAAAAAAGTAAGAAAGAAACAACTGTCTGTCAACTGTATTAAAAGACCATCTATTCCGGCTGCCCCACAGGAAGCTGGAGGTAAAGGGAGAACTATTTAAGGCTGCAGACAGTCCAATTAAAAGTATCAACAGAAAGAGAAATCACTTAGCATGTCACTGAGCTTTACTGGCTAAACTGTATTACTTACTGCAGTAGCTCGAGATACTTCTCGGCATGTACTAAGCAGTCCATTCTGCAAGTCATCTCTCTGTAAAACAACGTTCTGTATGGAGGCTGGATTATCTGCATTCATTTCTATCTCTTGACTGGCTGATAGCAAAGCTTGCTCAAGCGTGTACTATTATAATAAAAAGAATTATTTTTAATGTTCTGCATCATTGAGTTGATTTTCTTTTTACTTCAGTTATCAGTGTTCTGATAATAAGCATGTAAAATAATAGCCACATTAGGTAATAAATATAATTGTCCTACTTTCTCCTTGTGTAGCTGTTGAAGTTTCTCTTCCAGTGCTTGTACAACTTTATCTTGTTCACATAATCGGCTAAGCTTAGCCTAGGTTATAAAAGAAGAAGGTTGCAATTAGAACCACTATTATTTTTTCATATAATCTATGATTAAAAATACATCTTCCAAAATGACTTGAGACAAATTATGTGAAGTACTGTTATTACTATATCTTTAATTCTAATATGTCATGAGCCAGAGCATTGAATTTTTGAAGTACCCTGAGAACATCTGAAAGGCTCTTTGTAATTCAAAGTAATACAGGATAACCTCATAAATCTGGTTTTTAAGATTCTGGAATTCTCAAAAATCTGGCCCGTTTTAAAAATACACTGCATCGGGGAGTAGTGGTGGCCGGTTCCAGAGCAGTGGCCACACGCAGAGCGGCAGCA